AAGAAAATAATATTTCGTGATATATATCGTTACCGCACATGCTTCAAATTCAAATTCGAATTTTAGGCCATATCGCCCAGCCCTAGTTAAGATGATCCCACTCTCCGCCAATAATGTTGAGATCTAGGTTCTAGGAATACTGATAGTGTTTTCTATCCAGGTTTGCTTTTACTGCACTGGCAGTGTGTTTGGGGTCATTGTTATGGTGAAAAATAAAGCTGTTGCAAATCAGATGCTTTCCAGGTGGTATTGCATGGTGAATCAGAATCTGACAGTACTTTTCTGTGTTCATAATTCCATCAGTTTTGACAAAATCCCCAGCACCACTCAGTGAATTGCAGGTATAAACCATAACATATCCTCCTCCATGTTTTACAAAGGGCTGTAGACACTGTCTCCTAACCTCCTCTGTACAAATTGATAATGATGTGAGCCAAAGATTTTAAATTCAGTTCTTGTGTAATTTGGCATAGCTCAGCCTTTTCTCCCTGTTTCCCCGCCTTCTTGAGAACATTTCTGATGAAGCTTTGTCAAACAGTAGATGGATTAACTGAAGGGCCAGATGTGTCTCTCAGGACCATGTCAGGTCTTTGCTGGATTTATTTCTGATTCTTAATAATGTGACTTTCCAATACTGTTTATCTGCTGAAGTTTTTTTGGTTTTTTTTTAGATCTTCTTCTTTTGTCCTCCACTCTCCAATTTCCTCGGTCTTTTAAAGGATACACTACACACAACCTGTGTAAAAAATACTGTTTTATTCTTGTCAAACTGTAATATCTTTGACATTTTTCATAGATTTAACTTAAATATGAAATGGGAACAAATTATATGTTTTTTGCGATGGGCTGCTAGTAACAAAGTGCATATGCATGTAGACAACACCCTGAATGAAAAGGAAGCAAAACGTTTTTCTGGTACAAGGACTGATAACGTGTGAAAAAGCAGCCAATGTCCAAAGACATAGAGAAGCCCGGAGAAGTACTTCTCAAGACCACTCATTGGAAAGCCAATGAGAGACTTTTGCACAGTACTGCATGCACAGGAAACTAGTGGGAAACACACTAACTAGCCAGCTAGCATCCTCCTTCAGATATTTTTATGTCTGTGCTTTCTGAGCTGTGCTTTCTGAGCAGTCCAAGTTTGAAGTTTTCCTTTGGTGTAAAATTGCTGGAAAAGCACTATTGGCATGTGGCAAACCAGCAAAATTATATCTCAGTCAGTGAAGTTAATAACAATTTGTACATATAACCCATTAAACATAATGTTTGCAGTCTAATGATGAATAGTAGCAGTTTAATACTGGAAAATGTATCACTAAACCGCTGTTCAGGTTTCCAGACAAGGACTACACACACAGTGTCACCAGTTTCATAGCAGGAAGACTTAGCAGCTCAATAATGTAACATTTCCTTCATGTTTTGTTGGACTCCAAAAACCGAACTGAAAGACCATATCACATCACGCTCACATTTATCAGGTGCACACAAATGCAACACTACATGCAACATTAAACATAATGAAAAGCTGCTACAAGGGTCAGCCTGCCTCTTTAAAAGGATGTAGCCGTTACCTTCTAAAAAAATTCCTATGGTCTTAAAATGTTTGTCTTTCCATTCCAAGACCATTTCTTAAATGAGCAAAGTTTTACATTGATGTAAACGTTTTATTTGCTCCTCACATGTATTTTCACGACACTGCTATGCTATGCAGTCCATATTTCACCCCACATTGGTCTCCATTCAGCTCAGCCTGTTCTGATCTGTTCGCATTTGTTCACTGGCAGAAGAATAAAAAAGTCTGACTGATTGCTGCTGGCAGTAATTACAGCTTGTCAAAGCCCCAGTTCACGGCGGAAAAGATGTAAAGTGTTTGTCTCTGTCTTATGTTTTGCAATATGGGAAGTGTTGTAAGCAACAAAGTCGTGTTTCAATGCTATAAATTCAACTTCGCTTTTTGACATTACTCAGAGGAAGCTCGACATTTGAAAGTCACAATCACAGCAAAAAAGTGGAAATTCTTGAGTCTGCAGTGCCGCACACTTTAGGAAAGCACTCTGTCACACGCGCTTGTATGCACTGCTCACTTTCTGTATAACTGTATTGCAGTGTTTATGCATCTGCTTCCACCAGTGACCTCAAATAGGAGCTTTACTCCATTGCTAAATCTAGTGATTTTGCATTTGTCTTCATTCTCTTAAATATGGAAAATAATATTGGTCTGACTTAGGTTCTGATCCCAGTTTGAAATTTACATTTCCCTAAATGTTGATTTAAATACACTTTTTTTTTTTTTTAGCTGAAACCAATCAAATAATATATGCCTGACCTGGCTGCCCTAGTAAGCTGAATCCATACTGTTTCTGGTGATGCACACATCCCAGCCTCAGCCTGATGTGGCAGATCATATTACGCAGTTGACTCTGAATCCATCTCCGCCTCTTCTGTTCAGGTGGATGTGCCCGCTCCAGCCACGCTGCAGCCATTAGCAGACCTCAGCTTCATGCCGCCTGCTGACACTCCAGAGGCAGCATTTGACATGATTGCTGCTGTAAACCTTCAGCCTGCAGCCATGCTTGATCTCAGTTCCACTCCTGAAGCAGAGGATGAGGATACAGCAGCACCAGCGGCAGATCCAGAAGATGCTCTTCGCAGTGAGCCATATGCAAATTTGGATCAGGTTCTCCCAGAGGAGGAGGTGGATGAGAATGAGAATGAGGAGGAAGAGGAGGAAGAGATCCCCTTAGATCAGGTACACCTTTGTTCCCCATTAAAAAGAGCTGAGCAGCAAAGTTACAGGAGTGCAAACCTTTTAGCGGTTTTCAGTAATGAACTTCAGATAATTTGAGGAGAATCAATTCAGCATTATTTCCACAGCTGTCCATGAATTAGTAATAAAATGTGATTAAGATAATACATTGTTTAAATTTATAATAGAGAAAACTCAATGAACAAAAAATAATCCAAAATCATTTTGGCTGTAATGTGGAGCTGTCACCTTAAATATTAAAACAACCTATTGGAAACTGATTGAACACTACGGAAAGCTGAAAACACCTGTCTGGGTGTGCATATTTTTTTTTATAATTAATGAACCATGTAATCTGATTACTAACACTGTTTGACTCTTCATGCAGGAATAGATGGATTCTGGGTTGGTTTTAGGCATGCTCAAGGGGTTAGTCCAAACTGAAATATCTCAGAAAAAACTGTATGACTTGTTATAAAGTTTGGTACGTATACCCTTGTTGCTATGGCAACTTTTCATTTGGCATCAAGCTTTATACAATCTCAACATTTACTTGATTGAAATAGCAAAAATTTGGCACAGGTATCCACTGTGCCAGGAATGTGGAGGGCTCACTAAAGTTATCATGAGACTGGCAGTTGTTGTTTTAAATGAAATATCTCAGCATCTTTGGGGTGGCCTGTCATGAAATTGATGATCCCATGACTTTGCATAATCTTACATTTCTGAAATTTACAAAACTAAGGACATTTCAGTGAGTCTCAGCTGCACTTTATAATGCTAGTGAGCAAGTGTTGGCATGGTAACCTGCTAAATTATGATTATGAAACTGTACTGTTACTAAGTTTAGCCTCAGGGCCTTTCATTATGTTAGAAAATCTTTAGTATCCTGGAACACTTGAAGGCTGGAGAAAAGATTGAAGCATCATTACATGTTTCTGTTGTTACAGGAGATGACATCATCAGTCGATGAGGAGCCCATTCCTGCTGAGACATTAGCCCCTATTGAGGTCCGAGCTCCAGCTCCAACACCAGCAGGAGGGGTCAATCTCAGCATTAGTCAAGGTAACAGCGCTGTCAGTGTTTCAACACATTAACTCAGTAATTTGTTGTTTGCCCTGGGATTTTAATCATCATCAAATTGTAATGGGTATGGATATGTGGCAGGATAAATGCAAAGGTGTGTATAGTAAGGCACCAGAGAGTTGAAAAAGAAATCCACTAGGAGGTGGATTTAAGTGGAAACTTATACTCTTCTGACTCATTATTACTGGTATTTTCTTCAGTATTAAAGTAATCTAATTAGAGATGTCTGAACTTTAACAGCTAATTCTGCTGCTTTTGGGGATTTACTTTTCTTTCAGTAGGAGAAAGAAAAAGCAGCTCTTTATAAAAGAAAAGCTCAGACATACATTTAAAGCAGACAGCTGTTATATGATTATAAATTGGTTGAAGGTCTCACACCAGTAAAGACAGAAGCCATTCGAGGAGGGCTTTGTTTGTTGGACATGAAGATGTCACATTTATGAAGCTCACACCTGCCACTGGTTTTTTTCCTAAACATAATGGTTTTTTTTATTTCTTGCCAGATGTGGATGGGCTCATCACACAAGCTCTGCTGACTGGAGACTTTGAGGGAGCTGTGGAGCTTTGTCTCCATGACAACCGATTGGCGGACAGCATCATATTGGCCATTGCTGGAGGGCCAGAACTTTTAGAAAAAACCCAGAAGAAGTATTTTACAAAATCACACAGCAAGATAACCAAGGTGACAACTGGGGAAAACTTCCTTGAGTGTTTTTTGATTAAGAACGTGTTACTGGTGTTGTAACTGTGTATTTGTCCTGCAGCTGATCAGTGCAGTGGTAATGAAAGACTGGCACGACATCCTGAAGACGTGTGACCTTCAGAACTGGAAGGAGGCTCTGGCAGCCGTCATGACCTACGCTCAGCCTGAGGAGTTCTCTTCCCTCTGCGGTTAGTTCACATGTATTTTGTTGTTGGATATCAGGGGGTCGATCACATTTTTTAAGGTGAAGGTTTACTGTTTGAATTTAGTATTTAGATTTTCTTCTCTATCCAGGCATTTTGTTAATTCTATATAAATAAATCTATTTTTTTTACTTACATTCAGTCCATCCTGATTTTCAATTTTTTTAAGACCTTCTCGGGGACAGACTGGAGGCATCAGAAGATGCTAACCTACAATCCCAAGCCTGTTTGTGCTACATCTGTGCTGGCAATGTGGAGAAACTTGTCTCTTGCTGGACCAGAGTGCAGAACGGACACGTTCCTCTCTCACTGCAGGTATAGAAGCTCTGCTGCTCATGTTTTGTTTTTTAAATGTGTAGTGGCATATGTTTAGCTGCTTTGTAAGGTGGCAGAAACAAGCTTATTAATGCTTTTCCTTTGATTGAACAAATTTGTCTTTTATCTTTCGTTTTTGTTTCTTCCAGGAATATGTCTGGCTTTTTAGCTGCTAAACACTCCTCTATGTTCACTAGCTCTCTCCAGCTGTGTCTTTCTGCTCTTTGTTGATTAGCAGGAATTAAACAGTGGCTTATTAGAGCTTTTACAGTGGGAATGAACCAAAACAATCCTATTTTGAGCTTAGGACAGTCACGACCTTTCATTTCGTCATTTTGCGTTATATTATGAAAAAAATATTCATTTTACTTTCAATCTGTGCTAACCAATATTTTTTGTATTAGTAATGGCTCAAATGATAAGTCGTTGCAAAGAAATTCTGAGGAAAATCTTCACCTAACCCTGCATCGTCCCTGCATTTCCAGTCCAGGACAAAACTATATGCTACCACTCCAGCACCAAAGAGCACACAGACACAAATAGCAACTGGCTACTGAAGCCAAATTAAAGTAGATAAAGTTGCTGGTTAAGTAAACAGGGAGCTGTTTACTAATATTGTAGATTATGAACTGTTTATAGTTGGTAATAAGCCAATATTTCTCGAAGTGACCATTGACATATTTAATTAATGATGTCGTCGTGCTCATATATTGTGCCTCTGTGCCTCAGGACCTGGTGGAGAAAGTGGTGGTGCTGCGGCGTGCAGTAGAGCAGACCCAGCGCTCTGGCCCCGCTGCTATCGGCATCCTGCTAGCTGAGAAGATGAGCCAGTATGCCAACCTGCTGGCCTCCCAGGGCAGTTTGGCCACTGCCATCACCTATCTGCCTGACAACAGCAACCAGGTATGTACACAGCTGCTGTTTGTTGCACCTGCTCTCTGAAAAGTGTGTGTGTTTTTTT